CACCAACTGCAAGCTCACCTAAATTTCATTCAGATTTTCAAATTTAATCTTTAAGCAATGCAGCTTCTAGGGACTTACCACTGTTATGTGTCTTAATTTTGATCTCACTTATATATAGACCCTTCCGTCACATCAACCTGCACACACAAAATAAACACGAACATACAACTCTGAACTCACAAGCATATTGTAGGGCCCAAAAGCCAATCCTGCAATGCCAGCAGGATTTCTCAATGCAAAGAAACGGATTTGCATGGATGACTATGTACATAAAGGGCAGAAAGGGCCCAGATGGGTCTAGGGATTTCTTCCCTTCACTCTACCTACCAGGCCAAAGGCTTTTCAACAGGATGTTATCAGCAGCATTTCTTGGTGATGCTCCAAAAAACGTGTGCTGTAACTACTAGGTGGCCTTCTGGAAAGATCCAGGAGCTCTCAAAAGTCAAGCCTACTTGCTAGGGTAAGAACGGGCTTTTGCTAGACAGATGACTACAGTTACTAACAGAATCCAGACTCTGTGTCTCATTCTAAGACATCAACCGACCCCTGCTTTGCTCAGTAAACCTCCTACAGGGTACTGAGAAAGGGGCCATTTCCCTCAGGGTGGAGAAGGGTCAGACAAAGGTGCCTGTGGAAGACAAGAAAGGTGACAGCTCTCTGACAGGACTCCTTGTTTCCCACTGAGTACCACCACGTGGTACGAACTTGCTATGTTCTGCGTATCAGACATGAGAGAGACAGAAGTGACATGGCAGCAAGGGGCGGGGAAGACACTTGATGTGCAGAGATGGGGAAAAGCACCTTCACAAAGGGCACTGCACAGGGGTGTCAAAGTACACCACCAAGATTGCAAAGTTGCTCGTCTCTCTCTAGACTTTGCACAGGCAGGAAACAATCCACATTCCCCCTGCCTCCCTAATCTCATGGTGCCTTTTCCAGCTCCTCTTTAGTTCAAGATAGTGAGACAATTAAGTCACTTCTTGCACTGGATCCCACCACCCTGACCAAGATGAGCAGACAGCCCTTGTTGGGCAACAGCTGTAGCACAGCACGGGCTGCCGGGAGCGCAAGATTGCCGCCTGCACCCCTCTGTTGACTCTCCTTCCATTTCTGACAACACACCAGCAGAACTACAGGACCTACAGAGAGATCTTGTTCAAAAACAAAAATCAGCATGACTGTTCAACACAATGACATTTCCCTTCCTGGTAGATGACAAGCCATAGGTCTTCAGTCAGTCCCACAAGGACTGCTTTGACTTGGATGAGCATGCCAAAAATCTAATTTTTGCCTTAAACTCTCTTTTTTAATGCCTAGACATCAGACTGACAAATTCTGCAAAGAGAATTTAAGCCAGCATCTGAGCTGATGACTTTCCAACACCCACAAATGCCTTGTTGACACCTCAGGATGCACATTCAATTTAAAACATCCCTGAAACACAACTTTGACAATTCACCTCATCACATACGAAAGCTCAGCTGAGAACAGTTATGAAAGTGAGTGAAAGTACTTTTTTTATTACCTCTCTTCTCAGCAGCTGCCACTAAACCAAGCACATTTACTAAACTGTCAGTACCTTGACAAGGGACAGACAAGGGGTCTCAGAAGGTTGAGGATGAAGCAGTTTGGGCAGGAGTTGCATAGGAAGCAGTTACAAGGGAATGAAGTATCACAGCTTTACCCAATCCAACTGCAGGCTGCTGCCAAAGGAACGGTCTCAGCCTTGCAGAGCCCTCTGTCTGCACCCTCTCCCTTGGGTCAGCTCCAGCCACGTCATCGACTAGGATGAACCGGAGCAGCTCACCAATCCAGCCCAAAACAACCCTCTCTCTCCCATTCCTTCTCTGCACGCTTCATCTTCTGTAAGATCAGTGAGCACATGTGGCTGCAACATGCTGGTGGGAAGTGGCAGGGTGCTACCTCTCAACTGTGTAACTGGGTGTAGGGCAGATGCAACGTGCTCCTTTTGCAGCACTGTCATCTTCAGTCATATTAAACCAACTGCATTGGAAGGGCATTTTCCTTCTCTCTACAGATGCACTGAAGCCTGCCAGAAGAAAGGGGAGGATGGAGAAGGTGAGGCAGTAAAGCCGAGCTGCCAGCACAGCAGTGCTCAGAGCCGTTTATACCAGAATGGGCAGAGACGGCTGTCAGTCCCCTAGACCTGCCGGGCTGCACACTGGTTGGCTCCCCTGGAGCCTCGCCGATGCTCAGACCCTGCACATCCTCCATCGTGTATGTATCTGCCCCAGACCAGCGGTTCCTCCTGAAGCAGAGCAGTGAGGTGTGGGAGAACAGACAGGGATGGCTAGCACAAGCGCAGTTAGGGGAACACTCAGACAAACTGACCCACAAACAGAATGAAGGCAGGGTAGAGTTGCTGCTCCTCCAAACAGGACTGGTTAGTCACTTGACCTCAGTTTCAAAATAACACAATGCTCAATTTTTCAAAGTTTTCTTTTTTTGGGGGAGAGCACAGTATACAGTAAAATTACCAGTGTCCTCATATAAGCATTTACTCACTAGACAATTGAGTTCACCTAATTAAGGTGCACTAAACCATCTCCTCTGTTCCCTCTACCTTGTTAGACTATTGGTTCAACACTTCTGTTCTCCATGGGCATCACAGAACACCCCACAACTGCCTTCAGAGTGAGACACCAGACACCAGTGCTAAGGGAGTGAACGCATAAGCAAAGACTTCAGCTGTAGTATGTGCAAGCTGCTACGCAAATCAATGCATTTCTCCTTGCTTCCCATTATTAACCTTATTTAAGACCCCCTCAGGTAAGTCGAACTGAATAGCAGATTTCTCCCCATCCTGTTCTTGCTTTCCTTGTCTCTGACCCATCAGCCTGCAGTCATCGCTGCCAACCCCTCATGTACTTGCTCAGCTGAAGCTCAGCATTCGCCTCCATGGGTGATCTGAACCAGAAGTGCAGGATCAAGCCCACCAGGATTTATCAAAACCTCAACAACTCACAGAAATCAACTTTCTCTTTTAAAGCACCCCAGTTTTCTGGGTTTCATCTGCTTGCAGGGTGAAAGTCACAGCAGCGCTTCTTTGTGCTGCTACAACAAATACCTGCAGGGCAGCTGGTATGTACACTCTCTAGGCATAAAGGCGCAAGCTTACTGCTGATCCTACATAGGATGCATATGCCGAGGTTTAGGGCATGCTGCAACACGTTGCTACAGAATATACCTGCAAGTAGTGACACTCACAACAGGCAAATTCTTATAAATAAGAAAAACCCACTCACAACACAGACTCCCCTGGGGCTGCTCCTGGAGTCCCTGAGGGCACACCCAGCTTCCCTGGCCACTGGAAACCCCTCTCGGAGGCTCAGGACAGCTGTAACTTGTTTCTTACTCTGAATACATCTTATTTCTCAATCTCTCACTGTATACCACAGAAATTTTGAAGGCAACATTTCTTGCAACTAGTGTGTTAACAAACCCTCCCATCCAGCTTCTGCACCTACTCATAAGTGCACTGTTATTGTCCTCAGCTGGTGAGGAGTACCACACCAGATGCCAGACCCTGCAAAAGATGCCATGGATGACCATCTGTAGAGCTGTCTTATCAGCCCTACATGGGCTGGAGGGAGGCAGTAAGCACTGCAGTCAGCTTCCTTCGTCTGGGCACAAGAGCTTGTAGAAACTATGCCACTGCAGTTCACAGAAAGGTTTTCCTTGTAGGAGAGGGTACTGCTCGCTCAGCTACCTCTGCTGATCAGCCCAGGTCTGTCTCACTACAAGCATCTCGCAGACACTTACAAGGAGCCCTGCAACTCCTCCCCTTCCATGCAGAGCACACTAATGCTGTGCCAAAAGCAGTCTGAATCCTCATGTTTAAATCAGCGACCAAGGTAACGCACGTCTCCATCTTCAGCCATGCTCATGTCTGTCGGAAATCACACACCACCAGGGAGCCTCTACCCTGCGCCCAGGCAGCATACAAAGGCACAACAGATAACTGTCCCCTCAAAGGCCACGGATGAGGGCTGGCTTATCCACAGCCCGTTGTCTTCCTAGGCCCCTTTCTCCCTCCTCTGCCGGGAGCTCCTACGTGAGAGCCCTCACTCCTCGTTCAAGCAGGGAATGAACTGCTCCTGAGGGCTGCCCAGGTCTGGCAGTAGCCTGACTCATCCGCAGTCCCCAGTGCAGGAGAAACAGGGCAGTATTTGCATGCTCCAGGATCATCTTTCAAAGGCTTTTTGGCCTTTTCCACCCAGTACAAAGTAAGAAAGACAGGGGAACTTAATACGAACTAGTATGACTACGAAATGCGTTCACTCAGTTCAAGAAGTTACTTTTGTTCTATAAAGCAGCAACAGAAATTCAGGAAATGATTTACCCTCTGCAAGGACAGAGGGCTCTCCTCTCCCCGAAACCCCCCCTCCCAGCCTTGCATGCTGACTGGACCCTGTGAGGCCTCGCAGGGCAGAAACAATACCGGGGCTCCCACGGGCACTCTGAACTAGCACAAAGATTTTATTGAACAAGACACTAAAAATTGCTTCATCAGCCATGCTCATCATCTATAAAAGTTATCACAGACAGCCCAAGAGCACAATCACAAATGCCACAGCCTCAGGGATGCTGGAGGTTATCGGTGAAGCTTCAGCAGCCCAAGAGGAAAGGAGACAAACAAGAGCCACTGTAAGCCCCAACAGCATGAACAGCTTCTGTAACACCTCAGACAAGTCTCCCATCCACACATGGAAGGGGAAGCACCACATCCTGGTAAACCGCGTAAGGAATAGACGGGAGAGAGATCAAACACCAGGAACGAGCCTACGGTACAAGCACTTCTGACACCAGTTAGACAGACAGCATTTGCGGTGATACAAGACTTCAGCAGGTACCTGGTCCAGAGCAGCCCTGGGCATCACATGCTCGCCTTCTCCACAGCCAAACCCACCCAGCTCCGGGCAGGCCCCGCACACCACCACCCTTCAGCCGCACGCACCCCACCCCGGCGGCTCACTCACCAAAGTACTCCTTCTTCATGTGCATCTCCAGCTCCTTCTCCAGCTCCAGTGTCAGCGCCTCCAGCCGCCTCTCCGCCTGGCTGGGGCCGCTCTCCCGGCACGGCGTCACCTGGTAGGGGAGCTTGAATTTGGGAGCCGAAGCGGAGCCTTTAGTCGGGCTGTAGGTGTAGGGGGGCGCCGCCTCGGGGGCGGCGGCCGGGTGCTGCTGGTCGTGTCGCGGTGGGGACTGGGCATGAATCTTGTGGTAGACATCCCCCAGGTCGGGCACGGCGCCGTCCTCCTGTAGGCCGGGCCCCAGCAGGGAGGAGCGGGGCGAGGGCAGCTGC